GAAGAAATCAGCTGCCGGAGACTTAAGGGGCTGATAAGAAACTATGACAGAGAAGTAAACTCTCAAGGAAGAGAAGGAAAGGCCGCTAGACTAGAGATGAAGCAAAAAACATAGAACAGTAGCAAGTGATAGGTTGATAGAAGGAAATGAAGAAACTTCAGTGAAAGATATGAATCTGTTCCATTTATACAGGTAAGCCTTTCTAGTGGAGGGCTTCTTTAATTGACAGAGGATGTTCATTAGCGAGGCGGAATCCTCCACACTGCCAGGTGCAGAACAGGTAAGTCTGGGTGGAGTACTTGGGTGTTGTTCTGCCTGAGGAGGTGGGGCAGGCGAGGGAGATGGTGAATGTTTGATGAGAAATTGTGAAGAACTGGAAATCAGGGTTGTCTCTGCCACTAAGGGGCTATAATGATGGCATCGGTTTTGTCTTGTTGTAGGCGAACCGCAACCTTGTGGAGAAGCGGGAACGGTGTAAAAAGGTAAGTGAGGGTCTTGGGCCATCGCCCGACAAATGCGTCTCCTTGAGAGTGTTTGCCAATGCTGACTCGGGAGCAGTATCGTTTGCACTTCTGATTCACATGGGAGGCGAAGAGGTCAAGAGTTGGTTTGCCTCATTGTTCGCATATAGGCGAAGAAAAACTGATTGGTTTAACTCCCATTCGTGAGTTTGAGAGCTTGTGCAGCTGAGTAGATCAGCCAAGTTGTTGTTGTGGCTGGCAATGTCTAAATCCATGAGGCAGATATAATGTGCTAGATACCACTCCCAGAAGTCGACTGCTAAATAGAAGAGAAATATAGTAAATCGTCATGGTGTTGTTTGTGGCAATTTGTACCATCTTGCAGTGAGATTTCTGAAAGCTTTGCAAGCTTCTATAACTGCCAACAAATAGGGTGGGAGGAAAACACCACCACTGAAGTTGGGAGGCAAGTTCTTGGGTGACCCTTAAAAGAGTGTGAGGAGGGTCTGTGAGCAGGTCAAAGAGGGGAAGAAACCACAACTGAAGAGATCTCATCTTGAAGGGTATGTGCTGCACTAATGAAGTCATAGAGGCCATGGTGCCTAGTACACATTGCACAGTCAAGGTGGTTACCATAGCATGAGCGGGGAAAACTTGAAGTAATGCGATGCGATTGTCTCTCTTGTCTGGGGGAAGAAAGGCACGAGCTTGTGTGGAATCTATGCATGCGCCTATATAAGGAATAATCTTTGTAGGTTTCAAATTTGATTTTCATTCATTGACAGCGAGACCGAGATTGCGAAGGAGTGTAAGGGTGGAGTGTCTTGTTGGGCCTTGCGATGGGAATGAGCTATGAGGAGCCTATCATCAATCTATGGAAATATGAGAATTTTTTTTGCAACCTGAGATAAGTAGCTACTGGTGCCTTGAACTTGGAGAATACTCTTGGAGCTGTTGCAAGGCCGAAAGGAAGCCTTTTGAATTGGTAGGCTTGTGACCCTAGCTGAAACTGAAGGAATTTTCTGTGTGAAGGATGTATGGAAATATGGGTCTTTGAGATCTATGACAGTGAACCAGTCATTTTAGCAGAGTAAAGGGAGAACTGATTGGAGGGTAACCATATGGAATTTTGTGGTAATGATGTATTTGTTTAACTCTCATAGGTCTAAGATCGGGTGAAGACCTCCGTCCTTTTTGGGTACGGTGAAATAGCAAGAGAAAAACCCTTTGTTGTGTTGTGAGACGGGTTGTATGGCATCTTTGAGGAGTAGATTTCTTATTTCCTCTTGTAGGGTTGGAGATGGTGGAGTGATGACGTGTTGCCATAGGAAGTTGGAAGAAATCGATGCAGTAGCCATCACAGATGATGGGCAGTACCCAGACCTCCGTCCTTTTTGGGTACGGTGAAATAGCAAGAGAAAAACCCTTTGTTGTGTTGTGAGACGGGTTGTATGGCATCTTTGAGGAGTAGATTTCTTATTTCCTCTTGTAGGGTTGGAGATGGTGGAGTGATGACGTGTTGCCATAGGAAGTTGGAAGAAATCGATGCAGTAGCCATCACAGATGATGGGCAGTACCCAGACATCTATAGTGATGGATTCCCAGACAGGTAGGTGTTTCCAGAGGGCAGAATGGGTGGAGTGGTGGGCAATCTCAGTCATGACAGCATCAAACGTGATATTTCAGCTTGCGGTTGTTCCGCCTAGTAATGGATTGTTGGAGAGATTTATTTCTTTGATTTATGAAATAGGGTGTATAAGAAGTTTGTTTTGGAGAATTACATTGGAATTTTTGATATGAGTTGTACAGTTGTCTCCATTGATTTTGTTGGGGGCGTTGTTGGTAAGATGAATAAACTCCCCAATGTCTAGCTGCTGATTTTTTGCATGTTTTCCAAAATATCATCAGTATTAGCATTAAAGAGGCCTGCCCCGTTGAATGGAAGGTCTTTGATACATGCACAGGCATCCTCAGCCAGGCCAGCTATCCTTAGCCATGAGAAACAACGTAAGGCTACTGAAGTGGTCACAGACTTTGCTGTGGTGTCTACTGTGTGCCTAGCAAAAAAGCATATGTTGTTTGGCAACGGCCCCCCCCCCCAAAGCTGCAGTTACAGTCCACTGTTTGGCAAGGAATTAAGGCTACAAAATTAAACACGACAGAGTCCCATTGAAGACATATGAGTAAATGTTCATAGAACTGTGCCAGAAACGTCTTATGTAATTTAAGTCACAATTTTTATCAAGGACAAAATCTGGTAAGGTGTACCCAGATTTAGGCACGTGTAACTGGGCTGGCTGAAGCAGAGCACCCAATTTTTATTTCCACACAGGCATTCTGTGGACTCTTGGAAAAAAAAATATACAGAGGGCTGTGAGCCTGACAAATGGGGTGAGCTTGGCTGCTTCCCTCAATTAATTATTTTTCTTCTTTCTTGTACTGTACTTTTATTTGTCAAACTAGACAAGACACTGGCTTCAGAATTAGAAACTGATGGTACATTATTCCTCCAGAGATTAATTCCTTCAAAGCTCTGCACCTGAGGAATTACACTTAAATATGTAGAAGTCGTGCTGGGACAAACAGAAGTCATTTATCTCTTGACAGACCTCCACTTCTGGTGACAAGCTAAATGCATTGTCTCATTAGTTTATGTCAAAACTTACTGTTATCCCCACAGGTAACCAGCAGTTGCTCATAGTAGAATGATACTACTATATAAAATAATCATACACTAATAGAGGGGTATTACTAAACGACTAAACGATGACGACTAAATGACTTATGTTAGCCAATCATGTGTTGCAAGCATCACATATTAATGTGGCTGGAAATAGAATGAAAACTGAACTAGCAACAATGCTACAAGACTAATGGAAGAATTAACACACAGTTAATGTAAAACACACAATTTCATGACCCCGGGTTTTCTGCATATGAATATTTTTGACACCTATACATTTTAGCAGCCACAGTAACATTTAGCAGCAAAATATTTCAGCAGTAAATGTCTCTAGCCCTGGTTTAAATGTTAACAATAAAGAAACTTCAGCAACTATGTGCAATAGTCAGTTGCCATCTCCAGCTGAAACAAACAGAAAGTATATGATACAAGCCAAATTTTAAAACATCACCATTCATAATGAACCACAAAATAGAAGGCAAAGAGACACAGAGGGCACATACAAATAATCAGTGGAAGACACTGTATTTTTCTTGTTATGTAAAGCTGTACCATTGTATTAGTCTATACATCATGCAATCAGTTCTGAATTTATGAAGTTGATAGTGACATATCTAGATGTACAGAAGTTACATCATTGCAGCAATTCTTGGCAGTGTTTTGCATGTTTTCCAAAATATCATCAGTATTAGCATTAAAGAGGCCTGCCCCGTTGAATGGAAGGTCTTTGATACATGCACAGGCATCCTCAGCCAGGCCAGCTATCCTTAGCCATGAGAAACAACGTAAGGCTACTGAAGTGGTCACAGACTTTGCTGTGGTGTCTACTGTGTGCCTAGCAAAAAAGCATATGTTGTTTGGCAACGGAAAGATCTTCTTGTTGAAAGTTTTGGGTGAGTACTTTTTTGTCCTCTGGTAAAGATTCGACAAAGGTTGACATATTGTCCCATAGGAAATGCTGACAGATTTTTTTGCTACCACAGAAGCTTTAGAATTTTCCGATGAGGCTCTGTGCAAGCGCGAATCACCCAGGGTATGATTCACAGAGGCCACGAAGAACAACAGGTTACCCACCTGTAATTGTAGTTCTTTGAGTGGACCTCTGTGATTCACACATCCTGCCCATCCCCCCTACTGTCACACCATTTTGCT